AGGAAAAGGATATTTACAACTCCTTGTACCTTCCAGTCAACAGTTTCCAGCAATTCCATTCCAGACTGACCGAGACAGTATCTTCTTTTTTCTACCAATGGTTCCACCGTCAACCGAGCGTCTCGTAGATGCAGTATGTCCGACAAGTTATCACTGCAGACAATAAAGCCATCAAAATAGGCACCAACATTGGATACTCTTGCAAGTACTCCGTCCAGCAATCGGGCAATTACTGTGGACGCTTTTTACCGTCCAAAAAGCATGGAATTGAACTGTAAACTATGTTCCAATTTTGATTTTGACAAATCCGTATACGTAGTAACCAAGAAGTTAACACTGATGATCATCTTCTTACATATCGCGTGTCAGCCTACGGTAACCACACGTGGCAGCAAAGTAATGTCTTTCTTTTTCTCTGGCCAATCGGGATACGGAGGATGTTTGGGTCGAGCCAATATGGCCGCATGTCCTGGCGCACCACTTTTTTTTTTTTTTTATCTCACTTTGTTTAATGGTCAGGTGGTACTGTGTCCTTTATTTCCATCAGCCTTTGTCGCATTTCCTAACATGCTCTTTGACAGATTTCCTGTCTTCAACGCGCCTTTCTATGTCATTGTCTCATTCTTGATAGGAGGAGGTTGGCGCATCGACAATCCAAGCAATGTATGAAATAGGAAAGCTCTTATTTTTCCTATTGAGTGAGGCACAACTACTAAAATATTTCTTGAATGTTGCGTTGAACCAACAAACTGCCAACCTGTACTGTAAAGTAAATGACTTCCTTGTAGTTTTACATAGCAGAACTATTCTAGATTTCTTAGCCATGGAACGGTATTTCTATGATATTGTTTTTCTCCGTGGTATCATATTTCTATACCAATGTCCTTCTCCGTGGTATGGTATTTCTATGATAGGGTATCCTATTTCCATAGACCTCTGTGTTATGGTATTTTTATACTGGTGTCCTTCCCCGTCGTATAGTTTTTTTATAATCCTTTTCCATGGAATAATTTAAGTCACTCAATGGTAATGGGAAGGAATGGAGTGGGCTTGGGGTTGCATTGCATTCAGTCTGTCCTCAAAGTTTGTCCGGGATAAAGCTTCTATACTTTTTCACCTGGAGTAACCAGATTTGGTATGCAAGTACGTCTTGGGGTTGCGGAGTATCAAAACCAAAGCGAAGGTCACTGTGACTCTGACCTTAGACCTCTAACTTAAAAAAAGAGTTTGTCCTGGACATGTCGTCTATACTTTTTCACCTTTAGTAACCAGATTTGATACGAAAACATATCTTGGGAACTTAGTGTTAAGCACGAAAAGTAGGCCACTGTGACTGACCTGTGACTGACCTGTGCTTTGACCTTTGACGTCAACATTTAAAAAGTTTTGTCCGTGACATATCTTCTAAACTATTTCACCTGCAGTAACTAAATTTGGTAAGCAAGTACATACTGGGATGGCAGAGTGGCTAAAAAGTAGATTACTGTGACCTGTACTTTGGCCTTTGACCTCAACCTTCGGAAAAAATTGTCCGTGGCATATCTTCTATACTATTTCACATTGAGTTACCAGATTTTGTATAACAGTACATCTTTGGGTGGCGAAGTGTCAAGTACAATAAGCACGTAACTCTGACCTCTGCTTTGACCTTTGACTTTTTTTTCGCCTGGAGTAACCAGATTTGGTATGCAAGTAAGTCTTGACCGGCAGAGTGCGGAGTACACAGGTATGTCACTGTGACCAATATCCAGAGATAAGTGATCAGCTCGGTAAATAAATTGATACTCCACTGATCTTTGTGGTATGGCATTTCTATAATAGTGTCCTTTGTTATATGGTATTTTTATATTGGAAGCTTTGTCTTTGCATTCTTCCATAAACCTCCAGGGCATTACGTTTCTAATCGCATCATTGTCAAAGCCATTTTACATTTTTATTGGTAAAGTTATTCTTCATTGAGAATGCAAGACGACACCATGCAACCTTTCATCTTATAAATGATTCGACTGCAATGCGATTACAGTGTTCTATTCTTTACATATGCACTTCACTAAATCAAAATCCTCCGGACAAGTTTTATGAGTCACGATCTCAGTAAAAATAATACATTTCGGGGAAAATGTAGAATGTGTATCAAAGGGGATTACAGTCATGTTGATTATGTTGCTCGGCGCAGGCTCCCAGAAGGCATTACTTAGACAGTAAGGTGATCAAGGGAGGTGGTCACGAGCAGATCACATCACATGTATAGGTCGTTCAGCTTAATGGCATATCAACTCAAATAGGAAAAGTAACACCTGCTCCTCACAAACTATTATGCTTGTCTTGGTTTCATGCGATGGTATTTAAATACGTATTTCTCATGTTAGTAATGGTTTTAAAACTACATGCGTTTAGTCAGAGTTGACTGCGAGACGTTATTTGTAAGGAAGCTATTTCGAAAATGACTTGTAATATGATCTACTCAAAGCTGAATATTACGCCCAGCTAATTCACATTTATAGGAAGATGACGTGTTCGTGACATCAGGCAAGTTATAAATTGAAAAATGGATTGAACAGCATCTTAAGATTTGGTGATATCTACTTTTAAATTTGTATTCTCTCCACAATCTTTAAATACGTATGCTCTCAATGTGTTTAGATGTGTATACTATTGAAAAGAATTGCGCATTTGCCAACAGTGTTCCTAGCTAGTGTATGCTCTCAAAATAAGAAAGATAACATGCTTAAAACAGGAAATTCTTGTGTTGTGAAAAAGCGTTAATGTTTTCAATGTACATGATTGACAGTAGTTACACACATATATGTATTGTTCTGAGCACAAATAGTCATGCAATCTAGACAAGACACGTTTCTACATTGTTGAGAAAGGACAAATTTGACGGATATTTACGGGAAAGGCCGTATGAAAGGGTGTCTAAAGAGACAATATGACTGGTATCTCGAGACAGTATGAGTAGTCCTTGAGACAGTATGTAAGGTGTCTAGAGACAGTATGAATGGTGTCTAGAGACAGAATGTAAGGTATCTAGAGACAGTATGTAAGGTGTCTTGAGATAGTACTTTGAGCCAGTATGCGATCTGATCTAGGGACCGTATAAGTTGTGTCTTGAGGCAGAACGACGGGTGGTGGTGTGGCGGGAACGTACATACGGTATAATGCAAATACCTAGGAATGGTATGAAGAGAGCATGGAGACAGAATGAGGATTGCCTTGAAACTATGTACAATGTTTTGTTGTATATTGTAACATTTTTCATATCTTGTTGTATGCAACGTAAACACTTATCTGGATTCTGACTGAATGATTCGATCAAGTAATCGTCCCTTGCACGCGAAGGGGGACATTTCTGTTTGTATGCTGAGTGATGCGGTCACGTGATATTTTCCCATCGATATTGCAGTGTCAACTTTCACTGTGTTGGGAAATCATAGACATGCTAAAAGGTTGATTGGTGTGCATCATTGTCGTTCTAATATATCGTGTATTAGATGTAAAAGTTCAGATGGCTGTGATGTATAAAGATGACCAAAAAAACGATATACGTGTATCATATTCACATACTTGACATAAATGTAGTCTAAGCTTGGTGGTGGACATTTACTCGTACAGTTAAAAGTCAGTATTAGTTTAAATGATGCCGGGAAGAATGTCATACGCTTTTAAAATTTTGTATGTTCCAGATTTACTTTAGCGAGACGTTTTTCTGGCCTACCGACGTGCCTGTTCACCTGTTTATCCAGCCAATCTCTCCAGTTCCAGAGTTTCTTGACCTGACCAGATACGGAATGTCCAACTGTGTAGACCATTCCTCGGGCGTCCCTACAGTATCGAACACTGTTACTGTCATGTTTCTCTAGGATTCTAGGACGTCTAGTGAATATGCCAGGGAAAGCACGCTTGGAAAATTCATGGAATGTGATCCCTGCCATAATCTTATGCGATTTATAACATTTATTCATAATGTTTGAAAAAAATATTCTTTGTACATATTCTGGATATTACGAATATTGACTTAACATATAACATTTTGGTGTACATGTTGTAATACAATCATATTCAGAGGCTGCCAAAGTTGTGTAAATGTATGGACAAGGGGTTTATTATTCATATTCATTGTCTTCATGGAAGAGAATTTGAGTTATGTTCCACCATTTCAAAATGTAGCATTTCTGACCATACATCTGATCCATTGGAAAGTATCTTAAGTTCTAAACTGTGAAACAAAATGTTTTCACACTTTTCTGCATGCTAAGTTAAATCCCGGAATTAGATTAGACCGTGGTTAAATGATATATATTTTAAATTCTACAAAATAATACTGAATATCTTGGGAATAAAGCTATTGGGACAGGAAAACAACTACCCAGAATTTTCTTCAACAATTTCAGATTTCATCACCAGAAAACAATACATGTACATTCCCTAAAGAATAAACACACACTTTTCCTTTCAAGAAAGTCTACCATTGGTATGAACAACAACTTCAGATTTCAAAAGAAAATGATTATCGTGGCAAACATGTTTACAAGCAATAATCAGGATATGGAGAACAATAATTATGAAGATGTTTAGTTTTCAACTTAGATCATAAATCAATTTGAATTAGTTAAGGTGAAAGAGTATTCTATGTTTTACTGTTGTTGACATTACAAAAGCAGAATTTGATAGTTTTTGATAATTTTAAAGTTGGAAAGCAAACCTATTCATTTTAGGTACTTAAGAAAACTTAACTTTTACAGATTTTGATAGCCGCTTTAGGCCGTTACATAACGACAAAAACACCTGTAGTAAATCAGGTTTATATTCCACTTTCTGTACTTCCTCCTCTCAGAAAAGGATGTTTTGTTCAGTTACAAAAACGAAGTGCCTTTTTTTTTCTTTTCTTATTTCTGCCTAGCTGTTTCCCACATCTGCAGATTGCTTCCGTGAATGTGTATGAAGTCGACTTGAAAGGTGGTTACATTATAAAATAAAAAGTAGACGAAAGAAGCACATTTGTAAAAAGGGTTTTATTATAAATAATATAAGATTAAAGATGTACCAATATGTTCCAGATAGTGTAGGATATATGGCTTGCATATTTTTTTTTTGTATTTTAGTAATGTCAGTAAATATCATAAAAGAAGTCTATTTCCTGACTTCAGTCTGGGAATGTTTGTTCCCTGTTATGAAGTATGACCTTTAACACCATGCAATGATTAATGATGATGATTTCATGATATATGGATTTTTTCCTCCATGATATTTTGTTTTCTAACTTTGTTTTGTATCCTTTCTTAATAAACAATAATCCTACAGCTGCTATGATGTGTTATCTTTTCTATTTGAAGACTGAACAGTTCCCTTTTTTTCTTCATCATACAACATGATTGATCTACAAACCAAAATAAGTATAAGGTGGGAATTAACACAAAATCAGTAAAGGACATGTTCATTGGTACAAAACAATCCCAGTAGCCTGGTGTGACATCTGAGTAACACCAGAGTACTGTACATATAACAAATACGTACAAATACAGCAGCATGCCTTTTAAAAAGTAAAAATGTAGTTTTAGTGAGTATGTAGATGAACTCAGGATATTAAATATAAAGAAATGTGAGCTAATATTCATCAACTATGCATCAAACAAGAGGAGGGATAACTAAGGAGCATTCAATGACCAATCTTTTGGTTACATCCTTCCATTGTTCAAGTAAGCAACAACTTCCTTGTCATTATTTCCAAGTATTCATATAGTTCTATCACATCTGTGTGTTCTATATGATAACATTGAAAAATGTAGAGTCTTTCTGCATGTGAAAGATGTCCCAGTTTTGTGACAAATTTAGTCGTCCTCTCTTGCTCTCCATTTTTATCAATGCGTTTTATCTTAAATGGGAACAAAATGGGACTCTCAAAGTCGAAACAAGTTTTAACTAGCGACTTATCATGCAAAGAATTTGTTTTAGTATCTAGATTTGAATTGTCTCCTATGATATCAGAATCCCTTGGTAACCTTACACACTTGGAGGTATAACCTCTAGGAGGGGCAAAATTGTGTACCTGCAGTAAGACAGGTACAGGAGGAAAAACATTACTGTACATTCACACAACAATATGTACACAATGAAGGTATAGCTATAGCTCTGATGACATTGCCATTTCATGCAAGTCAAAAGTATCATAAAGATACAACTATTGGAACACAGGCACATTTATGAATACTACTACACATATTCTAAACTGCAGACATCTACTTCATAAGATTTAGTTCCTTTCTATCCCCTCATTATTTTAAAATACTACACAACCTCTCCATGGTTTAGATCACAACTGATGAATAGTAGCTCCAATTCTACACATACAAAATAATAAATATATTAATATGAAATATATTACGCAAAAATAACCATTCCATATTTTGCCTACGTCACATCGCATACTTACTATCCATCAGGACTATTAAATGAACACATTGTGTACAAAATTCTCAAATTCAAATCATGCAAGAAATTGACCAATCAATAGTAAGCAATGAAGCTTTATATTCACAAATCTCAGTTCCATGACATCAGTTATAGTAACTGACCACAGGACATTCTAACAAATTGCGTAATTAAAATTCCATCAGACAACCAAATTTTCATAACAATGTGTACAAATTTCCTAAAAAGTTGATACTCATCATCACAAGTTGTGTAACTCATCATCACAACTTGTTCTAACTCATCATCACAAGTTGTGTAACTCATCATCACAAGTTGTGTAACTCATCATGACAAGTTGTACTAACTCATCATCACAAGTTGTCTCACTCATCAACACAATTTGTGTAATTCACCATCACAACATGTCTAACTCGTTATCATAAAAAAGTTTAACTCAGAGACAGAGAGGTATAAAAACCCACAACCATTACAGGATTATAAAGATACATAACCTACAAACTTAAACTAGTAGTCACATGTCTATATGTACTTTTAGTAACAGTTTTCTGACTTTATGATCATTTTTTATTCTTTAAACAAAACTTATTTAAAATTTTCCAAGTCAGATCAAAGTAAACCTAAGGTTTATGAAGTTTAATGTGTACATGCTGTCATAAAACAATGAGTATAAGTTTTGAGTTCTACACAACTCCCCATATCGAAGAGATACATGTACTTTTGATATGTACATATTTCACACATATGAGTTAAGGTAATCATACAATCTAAGCACCATGTCATCACACACCAACACTTCATGGTTATCAAGAATGAAAAAATGAGATGAAAATGATCCCATACACAATATCTTTCATTACAGAACACATAACACTGGCAAGGTTGTAGAAAGCGTGGGTCACGGTATCCAGATCAATACCTTGGCTATGGTAACAAAAACACTTGCCCCATGTGGTAAAAAAATTACAAATTTGTATTTTTAAAAACTAATTTGTAACTAGTGGGCTATCGTTAAAAGCACAACTGCGAAAGCAAGTGTAATCTAAAAACAAACAACTCTTTTATCCAGTGTTAAAGAAATCAGGTGTTCACAGAATAATAACCCAGGAATCAAAACAACACATTTAGGCCACACACAGCTTAAGTATAAAATATACAACATTGTTCTGTTGTCCATGTGTAATATAAAATTGTGACAAAATTGACAATAATATCAGCTTGGAGAAAGTCGTTTCACAATTCTCCGATAAGAGGGCAGTGATATAGTTTGTACCTAAATAAAATCCAATAAAATGTTGGCAGAACTATTTGTCCATTATCAATATTCTATCACAGATATCCTTTGAAATTTCAATGTAAATTCATTCAATTACAGAAAATCCAATACATTATTAGAGCAATTGTTAAAAATAGAATAAAAAATTGTTTTCCCTTTAATGTTTTTGGCACACAACATTCAATCTAAGATATTAATTATTTCAGTTGTTTGTAAATATCTTAAAACCTAAGTATCTATAAAATTGTAAGCATTTTAATTTACTTCAGTTTGAAAAAGAAAAAAAAACATGATTCAGATATGGTAATATAGATGGGAGCAAAGTTTGGCAAAATAACCTCTATTTTGATAAGCACCAAATGTTGAAAACTTGCAACAATTAAAAATTCAATACTTAACAAGAGCACAAATCCATATAAATCCTAGAGTTATGAAGTACATTACAAAAATGTATCACAATCTTTGTGCCAAACTTTGCACTCAACAAAATTACTCTAGCTTTGGCCATCTCCATTACAATAGTTTAGTACTACCTAAACATGTCTGTCCACTGCCCAACACAAAATACAAAAAAGGACTATCACAATGACCTTTCACACTTAACTAGGATGACCTCACTGATTACAGGTAATTTCACACCAGGTAACTCCCACTGTTACACAGCTACAATGTACTACTACATTGTGGTTGGCATATACTTTTTTTTATTCAGTTGTCAAAAGTGACAGGTCATTCTGATCCTACTTAAGGTAAAATCGAAGTGGCAGACCACTCTGATCCAACTAAAAGTAAAGTCAACGAGACAATTTCTAATATAAATGTGACATCAAATGTTATTTTCGCAAATTTATATCTGCTTTACATGATCTAGGGGAGATAACCATATGATCTGAACATGCAACTCTTAGCTTTATACGATATATAACAACTTTCATGATAGTTTCAGACCATAGAGAGAGACGGTAATCAGTTAACATTGAGTCATCCTATCCATGCTTTACACAGTCTGAGAAAGCAGCAAAATGTATGCCTGCAAACCTACAGGTCAGATGATGCTACAGTACATAAATGACCATTTACTACTGGTCAGCGAAAGATGGATTATGGGTGCTGCATCTCCTTCACGGTTTGTGTATTTCAACTCTCCGGGAGTCAGCTGAAACAATAAAATACAAATTTGAGTTCCATATTTAACTATTCCGTCTTTGCGTATTGCAGAGTTATCTTCTCTTGGGAGCAGGTATTGATTGTTACGTCACTTGTTTGTGAGAGTAACGTCATCAATTTTTGAGAAAACGACGTGATTTTCTCGCACAAACCAATGACGTAACAATCAATACCTGCTCCAAAGAGAAGATAACTCTGCAATACGCAAAGACGGAATAGTACACATGAAACATTTGACAACATGTGTCTTGTTGTAATGCACATAACCTGACTGTTTATTCCCTCTAAGTCAATACAAACTGAAATGACTGTTAATTCAAATCGATTCCTTAAATGTTGAGAGTGATTTAGTATGTGAAGGTAAGTGCATTTGTATGAATTTGGAAATATTATCTAGAACAATGACAGGTCAGTAATTACACTGCCAAGTACATGACCAGACCATTTACATTCCCCATTATGCCCAAGCAGAGGCCACAGTGATCATCTTCGATTTTGGAATGTTTGTTATCAAACACAACACATGCAAGTAATACAACAGTCACCAGTTAACATTTTAATGCCTCTTTTCTACTTTAAGTATCAGTGACCATGATTGGTTGAATTGCCACCTTGGATTTCAGAATACCAATATAGCATTATTCATGTAGGCTATTCAACAAATACTATTTGCAACCAAATAAACACTGGTAGGTCAAACAGGACATTACAATGTATTTTTGACAGTATTACCACTGTTCTATTTTTTAATGACAGTGATGTTGACTTATGTAATTCTAAACCACTGTGGACATCTTACATTGTATCACACCATGTAAAATGTAAGAAATTATTGAACTCTAGGATTCTGATTTTATCCCCAGAAACACAATGTGTGGTATGTACAGTAGCTATAGGCACCAACTTCTATGTCACCTGGTCCTAATGACACATTCAAAGCATTATACTGACAGATATAGGGAGAAGCTTGACTTACAAGGAGATCATCAGCACTGCTTATGATATGAGCTTTAAGGAGGCAGCGTCACCATTCTCCTGTGGAAGGCTGGGGCTCTCAGGATCTTTGCAATCCTCACCTTTGCCTACAACATTACAGGTATGTCAGTAAATATAATAAAACACCTATTTACAGATGTTGTCTTTCAAGGAATCGTCTCTGGAATGAAAACCAAATTCTAATACAAATTTTGCATATATTGAACTATATAAGTATGTAATTGAGTAGGTTCACTGTATCATGCTATAAAAATAGTGTTTTACTATACATAATAACAACAATGTTTTTTAAAACAGTTAAACTAATAGTTGTTATGTGTTAACAAGAGGCCCATTGACCTAAACGGTTACCGGAGTTCTACAGTATTTATTTTTGTTGTTGAAATATGAAGTGGAGATAATGATGTCAATTATTCCTACCAATCTTCTGAGTAAAAAAATAGTTAAGTATAACGTTAAGTTAAGTTTGTCTGGACCATGAGTTGATCATTACTAGACCGAGTTTTAGTTAAATCGGCCCAGTAGAACTTGACTTTAAGTTTGAAACAGTTCTTTCAAAATGGCGGCCATATTGGATTTCAGATTGACCCGAAAAATAACAACACTTTGTCAGGACTATGAGTTGATCACTCCTACTAAGTTTCAGTTAAATCGGCCCAGTAGAACTTAACATTAAATTTGAAATAGTTTTTCAAAATGACGACCGTGGCGAACAATATTGGATTTCTGATCGACCTGTAAAATAACAACACTTGGTCAGGGAGATGTCAGTAACATTCCCATGAAGTATCAACGAAATCCCTTTGACAGTTTTTCAGCTTAAGTTAAAATTGTAAAATGTTACTCACCTGAACTGTCCACATCTGGGACTTCTGCTGCCTCAACTGGTGAGTTGTTCAGTGTCTGGCTGTCGACTTCAGTAAGTTTTCCCTCTGCATTGTCAACATCTTTGGCCGTCTGTGGTTTGACTTCACCCTTCTCTGAGGGTGTGTTGTCTACTTGAGGACTATTGTCCTCTGAGGAGGAATGTACCTCCTCCTCTTGTGTGGAGGATGTGTCCTCCACTTCAGAGCGTACTGGATCCTCTTGTTTAGAGGATATTTCCTTCTCTGTTTTGGACTCTACTTCCTTCTCAGAATCTTTACCTTTAGGACTGTCTTTTTCTGGAGAAGATGTGAGCACTTCACTGCCTTCTTCCTTCTTGTGAGAACTGACAGTGTTTTGTGCATCACTTGACTTTTTGTCATTTATCTCCTCCAATTTAACACTCTTCTGTGGAACAGATTTCTGTCCACTGTTTTTCTTTGGATTCTCTCCTGAAGTAGGTTTCTGTTTATCATCCTTTTTAGGACTCTTAGCTATAGCAGATTTCTGCATACTGTCCATTTTTGGACCTTCACTTGCAGCAGATTTCTGCTTGCTACCATCGCTGTCACTAAGTGGCTTCTTTGCAGCTTTTCCTTCCTTTTCTTTCCTCATTTTCTGCCCTGAGGAATCGCTGTCCTGGTGAGGCATGACAGCACCTTTAGCAGAAGCCTTCGTTGGCTTGGAGCTCGGAGCGTGTTGGGATTTAGACGAGGCTGTAGCAGATTTATTCACAGTTGCTGTGTTCTTTTGGGCTTTGTTTACAGCAGAATCTGAGACTGGGGAATGAGGAGAGTGGGGTGTGAACTCGGGCGCCTCAGGGTTAAGGTGGCAGTTTATCTTGACTGCATCTGATTTAGCATGATTTTCAAGTTCTTCCTCCTCATCTTCAGGGCAGTCCTCCCATTCGTCTGTGTCACCTTGACTTTGACTTTGACGTGGCGTACTATCAAACTGGCCCTCCTCATAATCATACAGGAACTGGTCTTCCTGAATATTGTCATGGAGATTTAGTCCATCATGGTCTTCCTCCAGACTAACATGCTCACCAAACAGTTCCTTATGCTCGAATATATCATCGCCGTCCTCGCCAAGAAGACTTCCTGTTAGCAGATCATCTGCCTCCTCGTCCCACCAAAGTTCCTCAGTGGATGTCTGGGCTGTGCGAGAGTTAGGCACCCTGCCAGAGGACGTTGTAATAACTGTACTATTTGGTGTCTCTCCATCTGAGTACTCTATCTCTACACTTCCATCACTCACCTTGGAGTTGTCCAATTTGATAATAAGGAGGTCATGTTGTGTCTCTACTGTTCTGTCCTCACCTGACGTTGTCCTCACCCTCTGTGGCTTCACTTCCCCACTCCCTGGGCGTCCCCTTCCTCGCCCTCTGCCTCGCCCTCGCCCCATAGGACGCGGTGGACCCTCTCTATCATTTTCCTCTCGTTTGCGAGGATGTGGTTCACCCTCTCTGGGTTTGTTTCCTTCCCCCTCTCTTTGTCGATTTGGTACCTTTTCTGACTGACCAGTACCTGCAGTACATAAAATAGGAGTTAAGAACATAATTGTTTTCATCATAATAAAATCTATTTAAAATACATGTATGCATAAGAAATTTAGGTCTCTTTCTTTAAAATTATCTAATATTGAGGGACTACTAGATTTAACGTAAGCAACAGCTAGCATTGATTAAATATTTCATGAGAACTCCAGTAAAAACATTTTGACAGTGGTACTAAACTACTCCATAGTTGTAAAGCCTCAATTTTGCCGAGCTATTTCACAGCATACTGGTCTATAAACAATATTTTTTTAAACACTACAGTCTATTGATGATACATATGTGTATAAAGTTCTATAAATATATATTATGATATTATCTGTCCTTGAAAAGAAATGAAGTTTGTTAACATATAATAACCGGTGAGTTTCCTGGTCAGGGACCAAAATCATGCTGTATGATAATAATACACACACACACACGGATACACAGATTTTATTCTGACTATAGGAATGTTCTACGTATTCCTTTGCTGTATGTACTATAATTTTAAAAATATTGATCATAACAAATTATAAAGAATTTTATAAAGCTCTTTCAAAACAAGAGGCCCAGAGGGCCTGTACGCTCACCTGATATGTTTAAAATAATTGGTATGAAGTAGGTGCTGTAAGTACATATGAAATTTCAGAAAGATCCATCCAGTACTTGAGTTATAGCGAGAACAAACTTCAAACAGAGCCCCACCCCTATGCAACCTAGGATGCTTCAGACTTAATATGGAACAAATCCTTTCGTTCCTACAGAAGAAGGATTTTAAAGAATTTGCTATATTTCCCCTATTTGGCCCACGCCCCTCAGCCCCCAGGGGGGCCAGACCCAGTTTATACAAAATTGGTTCCCCTTTACCCAAGGATGTTCCACATCAATTATTGACAAAATCCTTTCATTCCTACAGAAGAAGGATTTTAAAGAATAATTTGCTATGTTTCCCCTATTTGGCCCTCCCCTAAGGCCCCTGGGGGGGGCCATATCCACAGTTTATACAAAATTGGTCACCCTTCACCAAAGGATGCTTCAGACTTAATATGGAACAAATCCTTTCGTTCCTACAGAAGAAGGCTTTTAAAGAATTTGCTATATTTCCCCTATTGGGCTCCGCCCCTCAGCCCCCAGGGGGGCCAGACCCACAGTTTATACAAATTGGTTCCCTTTTGCCCAAGGATGCTCCACATCAATTATTGACAAAATCCTTTCATTCCTACAGAAGAAGAAGGATTTTAAAGAATAATTTGCTATGTTTCCCCTATTTGGCCCTCCCCTAAGGCCCCTGGGGGGGCCACATCCACGGTTTATACAAAATTGGTTCCCCTTCACCCAAGGATGCTTCAGACTTAATACGGAACAAATCCTTTCGTTCCTACAGAAGAAGAAGGATTTTAAAGAATTTGCTATGTTTCCCCTATTGGGCCCCGCCCCTCAGGCCCCTGGGGGGCCACATCCACGATTTATACAAAATTGGTTCCCCTGCACTCAAGGATGCTTCTGAACAAATATGGAACAAATCCTTCCTTTCCTACAGAAGAAAAAGGATTTTAAAGAATAATTTGCTATGTTTCCCCTATTGGGCCCTGCCCCTCAGGCCCCTGGTGGGGGGTGGTGGTGGTTGTGGGGGTGGTGGTGGGTGTTGGGGTGGGGGGGTTGGGGGGCAGACCCACAGTTTATACAAAATTGGTTCCCCTTCACCCAAGGATGCTTCAGACCAAATCCTTTCATTCCTACAGAAGAAGAAGGATTTTAAAGAATTTGCTTTATTTCCACTGTTGTTCCCCAGGGGGGCCAGACCCACCATTTATACAAAAAAAAATCCCCTTCCCCCATGGATGCTTCTGACCAAATTTGGTCAAACTCTGCTCAGTTGTTCATGACACGTAGCGTTTTAAAGGAAAAGTTGACGGACGGACGAACGACTGACGCTGCGGTATGGCATAAGCTCACCATGGTCCTTCGGACCAGGTGAGCTAAAAATGGACACTAAACACATACATTATCCATTCCGTCTGGTTATAAGAAAGCTTCAGATGAGTATAAGTAATACAATGGGACAGATATAACACACTGATCACAGCCAAAACTACACAAAATATTGGTCAGCTTAGATTTACAATATTAATATAACACATTTTTAACATAATCAGATTTTCTTTTTGTGATAAAATTGCTATAAAGTTTTAGCTATAAAGTTTAACATGCAGACAGTTTTTCCCTTGTAAGTTTCTGGACTTTCAATTTATCTGCAAGTGAAAATTTCTGAAATTATCACCCACATAAAAGGAATCATAACCATGAGTTCATGTATAAGAATGTGCATTGATCACTAGTCTGCATAATCCCCTTCCTATATGCATGATACACTACCTGCAGGCCACTAGCATGTATCCTGTACGCATATACATATCATGTACGTATGATCCCCACCTGTTGGCATGGCATCCTACCTGTAGACATGACTGACCTCATCAGGTACGCATGATCACACACCTGCAGGCATTGTGTCTGATCTGTAGGCATGACTACAGTTATTGCTTACAGTTAGGCAATATGATATCCTACCATTATACTGTTCCTGCATGCATACACTACGGTGTATATTACCTGTAAGCATTATACTCCCCCTTAAGGAACTGAACATGTACAAGTGATAACATATCTTTAGGCATTGTCCTTGCCTGTAGGTATGAACCCCTACGTACACATATGAACTCCCACATGCAGACATGATCCTATATACCTGTAAACATGATCATATATACCTCAAGACACAAACCCCTACCTGTATACAATCCCCCCACACTTGTAGGCATGTTGTACCCGTTGACTTATAAAAGCTCTACCTATATGTATGATCTACCTACCTATATGTATGATCTACCTACCTATATGTATGATCTACTTACCTATATGTATGATCTACCTATACGTATGATCTACCTACCTATATGTATGATCTACCTATATGTATGATCTACTTACCTATATGTATGATCTACCTACCTATATGTATGATCTATCTACCTTATGTATGATCTACCTATATGTATGATCTACTTACCTATATGTATGACCTACCTACCTATATGTATGATCTATCTACCTTATGTATGATCTACCTATATGGATGATCTACCTATATGTATTATCTACTTACCTATATGTAGGATCTACCTACCTATATGTAGGATCTACCTATATGTATGATCTTCCTATATGTATGATCTACTTATATGTATGATATTGCTACCTATATGTATGATCTAGCTACCTATATGTATGATCTACCTATAGGTATGATCTACCTACCTATATGTATGATCTACCTACATGTATGTATGATCTACCTACATGTATGATCTACCTACCTATATGTATGATCTACCTATGTGTATGATCTACCTACATGTATGATCTACCTATATGTATGATCTACCTATATGTATGATCTACCTATATGTATGATCTACCTACCTATATGTATGATCTACCTACCTATATGTATGATCTATCTACATGTATGAACTGATTTAATTTAGGCATGGTATCCTACCTGTGGACATAATCCCCAACCTTTATCTATGATTGATGGTTCCCTACCTATCAATTAAATTACCCTCTTTTAATGCAATAACAGTTATGCTTTTGAAAAACAAATATGTGTATATCATACTATATGTAAGTTTCTGAATATATAATGATAATGTACCATAAAATCGAGATATTTTGATGTCTATAAAATTCGGTTTCTTTTCCTAGAATTGGTATTGTGTCAAATTGAATTTTTTTTTAAATATATTTTGACCAAATGTTTTTTTCTCCAAAGGAAGTTTGTCCATAAAATTAAAGTGGTTGGCCTAGATTAGTGTGAGTATCCATATGCAAATTATCTCGATTTAACATACACTTTTTTGAAAATATGTACTGTACTGTAAATATTTCTGGTATAATGAATGTAATAAACTTTCACTTTTTCATTTAAAAAAAATTGGTAGGTATATTTATACCTTTATATATAATATTTATGATCCTTTTCATTCCTTCTTGTATATCTTATACATGTAATATATTCATAGCACCATTCTTTGATTACTTTTTACCTAATGAATTTAAACGCTGAAAGGTGCATAAACACAAACATCATTAATCAGCAAACAATGTTTAAAGAAAGAAATATAAATAAAATCTAGTCATATTTTTATTAACATGATCACATATTCGATGAACACATATTTTAGTAAAATCAGAAAGATTAAAGATACAACGATAAGGGTGCATTTACTGAAAAATGTCTAAGTAGTGAAAATAATGTGATTGGGAAAAGAATTTCTATGTATTAAGCTTGTGGTACACATGTAAACAAAATCAGAGTAAGAATATAGAAGAAATACTGATTCTGGACTTCAACTGAACATTTTACATTTAGTCTAGCTAACTACACACATTTGTTAATATGGGTAACAAAAATGATCCTCTCACCATTAAATCAGCAGAAATAATAAATACAGGAACCAAACCAGCATATACTGGGTACATAGTGATTAATCCCCTGATCATTATTTAATTTAAAAAAAAAAAAAGAAGATTTTCAAGCAATAGGCCTCGTCACCATTTATCTTGACCAATATTGGAATATCAAACTTTTTTTGAAAACTCTTGAAATATTTGGCTCATGTGTGTTAGAAATACTGATATGGATTAAATAGCCTTTTTATATTTATCATGGCATTATCAAAGCACTTGTTTTAATGTATGTGCTTTGACCAAAAGTCATAATCATGCTTCACAAAATAGGTATGTAAGCCACTGCATTCATACCAACATGAACACTGTAGAAGGGGTATTATATTAATGTATTAACATAGTGGTCTGAGTTTATTACACGTGTATCGTTTGTTTTTCTGAGTTTGCCAGGACTGATAAATCATTTCAGAGCTCAATAGCCATCTATCATAAATTCCATGTAATCAATAGAAATGAACTTGTATGATTTTGAGACAATAGTCTAATTCCTGGAAAGTCGTATCTTAAAGACCACATATGGAGCCTTTTCCTTTATGTGGAACAATGGGTTTAAGTTTTTAAATGCATCAATTTCAGGTATAAATTTTTAATAACCAGCAAATGTTATGCCAGCCTTGCAATGCTTTCTCAAGGCTCGCTTAAAAGCAGCATCAGATTAATTACTAGGTCTGACCTTATTTCATAAATGAACAACACTGGTCGAACCGTTTGGATCGCGATAAAACGAAAGCGGCCATGGTAAGTAGATATCAAAATTTCTCTCAATAAAAGTCAGTTAAGTGTTTATATATATGTACAATGAATAAATGCAGAAACAAAAATTGATAGCAGTAAGGAAACATGCATTTAAACCAATTTCCAATACATGCTACAAAATAGGGTGAGAATGACAAGGCCCACCATTAATAAGACAAGTGTTACTAGAGGGAGGTACATTGCGGGTCATACAGCTATCGAGCAAGCACGAGTTACACGTGTGTGCTATACTTATATATACCTGGCTGCTCACAGATCTCACCTTTCTGTCTCTCATCTCGATCGCCGCGGTCAAATCGACCACTGCCTATACGACCAGCTTCAAATCATAAAATTCAAGCTTGTCAACCCATATCAAGTGCCCTTAGTATAATAATGTGGTTATAGGAAGAAGTAAGGAAATCGTTGAAATACTACTGTCTCACTTTTTTCTTGGGAACAAAACACAACACAATGCTACATATATGTGATCACTGTCAGTGGATAGTTGATCCCTAACAAAAGTACCTGCTATCCAGACAAATACATAGCAGCAGTAACAGAGAAAGAGATGAACTTTTTGATAGCAGTAAGATTAAACCAGGACGAAATATATACCAAAGTATGATATAGTGAAAAACTCAACAGTATAACTCTAAACAAATTAAAGACAGCCAAGCTAAGAGCAACATACTGCAACAAAGGTGTATGATGATCCCTACTCCAGATTATAAAATCTAGCTTCATGCATCCAGCCACCTTCTCAACTCAAGTGGATTACTGGGATTATCTGAATAGGGCTGGGGGATACATGTATTAGTATTTGCCCTGAAACACAACATGGATGGTGGGTCAATCAGATTCCTGGAGGCTGGATTAATGAGGCTGGACTTGTTGAGAGAAATGAGCTTACCGGTACATGTACAGTGATCCATATGTTACACATATGTAAATCATTTGAATAATATAACTCTCTTTGTGTATAATATCTAACACCGACAAACATAACCCATAAAATGTATAGTTAATGTCATTAACATCTACACTAGGATAATGATTTTGATTTTATTCAATTGTTACATCTAAATTACTGACTTCAGTTTAATCTACATAGTAGAACTTACCTGGTCTTTTGGCAGGTTCTGATCTTTTGGGGTTCTCTTGATCTTCGAAACTGGAAAACAGAAAGCATCTCACACTGAATATACCTATTAGTTGAGACATCAGAATCTAGTTATCAATTTGCATTAGCTTTCTGATAAGTTAAGTCAAAGTTTTATATTTATTTATTTTTTATTCAAACCATGTGCAGAGACAGGTATTTTTGTATTTACCGTCTGTGGAGATTACTTTGAATCCAAGGAAATGCACTATTTTGATTTAATAAGTAAGGAAATATCTTTTGATGTTTTAAGCTCATCCTAGATTAAATAAAGTCGATGCAACAGAATCTAGCACATAACTTTTCTAATCCCACAGACTTGATCTGTTAATATTGCTACAAGCAACTTTCATTGATTGTTCTGAAGTGTGACATCTAGCACTGCAGTCAGCATTAATGATTGTGAAGAACATCAAACACACTTACATGTTACATTTGACCAGTGACAGTGCTGTTTTGGTTTTCATTGCCCATGTTTGAGATACATAGGAATGTTTATGTCTCATTAGTTAATCATGTTCCCTCCAACTTTAACCCCTATATATGCAATTGATCTTTTATTATTTCTGAAACTAAAGAAACAACACCAGAGAGAAATGTGACATTCCCTTTTGACATCATGTGATTTATCCAACACTGGTGAGGTAAAATGTTGATTAGACTGGTGTTAATTGACCTACTCTCTAACAAGTTTTTCGTTGTCCCACTCTCGTCTCCACTCCCCAGAAGTGGCTTTCTGACGGTCAATTCTAGCTTGGTCCACCGTCTCACGCTCTGCTCGCCACTCCATATACTGACGACGCTCACGGCCTGTCATTGCCATCGCCATCTCCATCTTGGATCGGGGAGGTCCACCTCTACCTCTCTCCTGTGAAAAAAATGTATTCTAAGTCGAAAAAACAAACTACAAAAGTATGATTGCTACATTAGTTTATTATGATCAGCATACAGAAATAGTGGAAGAGGGACATTTTTCACTAAATAAAGAAATGTCGACAAAACATACAAGTTTGTAAAATGTTAAAGTTGACGGAACACTTAAGCAACAAAAATATCAACTCGAAATGTAATACCCATGCTCTGCACCTTCATCAATTACTGTTCAGATAGTCAAATCAAAGGCAAACCATACTGACTTCAGGTTCTTGGTCATTATACAGACAATATCTGAGAGGTTTAAAAAATATTCACTAAAACTGTACACTTCATTACTAATTAGCAGATAACACAAATACAAGAGGCCCAATGGGCCTGCATCGCTCACTTGGTATTAATCTCACACTTGTAATCTTAAAAGTGGACTAAAATACAGCTACAGGCAGAATATCAGTGTTTGATTCATAAGAACCTATTAAAAGATTTAAACATATGACGCCTGTGACCTTGAATGTCGAACAAGGACATCAGGTTGAAAGTGGATCAAGGTCATTCATTTGATTAAACTTGGTAGTCCTTCATCCCAGCATGCTACAGGCCTAATTTCAGTACCCTGGGCCTTTTGGTTATTGA